GTATTGTTATATTCCCAGGTTCACCAAGCTAACTGTGAGTTCCTTCCAATTCCTTGTCCAAATCGGTGTGGAACTTTCTGCTTGTTGGCTGGGATTGAAGAGCACCTGGCAAAGGCATGTCCAAAAAGAAGGCTGGCATGCGAGTTCTGTGAGGCAATGGTGCAGTTAAATAGGATGGAGGTACGTACAGTGCCCTGGACATTCAAGTAATACCAATTCAGTTATTTCTTAAGATTGAATGAAAACATGAAACAGCGATACACATTCAAACTTTTTTCACAGGGTACTATATAATAATAAATACTTTATTTCAACATGGTAAAACTTGTTTCACACAAGTGTGTATAAATATAAGTAGTATAAAAACTAAAAAATAAATGCTAACAAAATGTGAAAAAAAATCTCAGATAAGAAAGTATAGTACACACTCCAAGTAACGAAACGCACACAACCGCGCCGGGACCCAACATTCTGACATTAATAATGACATCATCAGGAATGATCATTCTATCATTATTAATGCTGAAACACTGAATCCCAACATGATGGTTGCATCTCAACACCTGGAGCATGCATTATCTTTCTTATGTAGTAATTGAATATCAAAAACAGAAAGTTAAGAAACACAATCTAAAAAATCATTACACAGTACATATATACAAGGTGAGTGAACTGATAAAAATTGTACATTCAAGATAAAATAAACTGTTTGAATTTGACTAGACTTAGTGCATTTTAACATTGTGATTAAGATGAATAGAATAGCACTACGGTAGGTAAAACTCCTTTTTTTTTTTTTGGTATTCTCTATATAAAATACCTGCTGATCTTGTGTTACACTGTGGTTCTTTTAATATGAATGTATCTCTAAGGTATGAAGGTGCATTGCCATGAAAAATCTTGTACATAGTAGTAGCTTCATTATGAAATAGTTTTGAATCAAGGACATAATCATGAACATAAATAATGAAAATTATTATACTTCAATCGTGATAGTGATTGTTAATGTTAGGATGATGATAATATATATATATATTAATGCTTGCGGTACACCCACCACATAGATAGTTCTGAAAAGAACTGTTGTTGGTTGAGAATGTAGACTTCGATGATAATCATAATATTTATATCACCATTTTATTTTTATATGGGTATTATTTTTATTCCTTTTTTGCTAGTCACATCTTGATGTATGTCCAAAGGTGAAGGTTGAATGCCAATACTGTGGTGAGCAATTAGTACAGGAGCAAGTCAAGTCCCATATTGATATGTATTGTCCAAAAGTTGAAGCACCTTGCGTATTCACCTTAATGGGTTGCAAAGAAAAGGTCAGTAGTTTGTAAACTTCCTCAAACATTTTGTTGCAGTCATTTAAATTAGAAATAGTACTAATAATAATAATGCATCCAACTTCTTTGGTTTTCAACTAGTCAAAAACCAGGGGTGGGGCTAGCAGGAGCACTGGAGGTGTCAGGGCCACCTCTGGGGAAAAATAATTATATGTATTTTCTACATATTAGTAGATTCTAACATTTTTTAAACTTCTAAAAGAGTAAATAAGTCTTTGAAATCCCTAAATTGTCATATTTTTGGGGCTTCACCCCCCCTGGATCACTTATGAAACATTTTGAACGATGCCTGACCATAGCCTTTTTGCTCTTGACGGGGATATCCACCCTTCCGTCAGGGACCTTGGACCCCCCGGCGTGGATCCTAGATCCCCATCGGTCAAATCCTGGCGCCACCTTGTCAAAAAACGTTTGTTTTCTTTATTTTATTTTTAAAGGGTTCAAACAGCTAAAACAGCCTACAAGGCAACATGATCAAGTTTTCATAAAAGCATGAAAAATAGCACAATAAAATATTAATTTTAATTATATTTGGTCTAAAATATTGAGTGAATAAATGATGGAATGTTATATATTTAATTTGGTTACAGATGGTGAGAGAGAAATTGCAAGAACATCTTAATCAATCTTTGCACAAACACATGTCAATGCTAGCTAACAATCTAATGCAACTTCAGTTCTCCACGGCGCATACTATCACACACCAGTACAGATCACTCGCCGACGATCATCCACAAGATCAACTTACAAGTGGAATATCATCCATTACTAGCAGTATGGACAGCATGCAGATGAAACAACCAGATTACCGTCATCAGTCTCGTGGAGGTTACACTACCTCCTGGCAGCAAGCAAGAGGAGGTATGAATGAACACACACGTCAACAGTCCAGAGAGGGGCGCGACTCTCCACGGCCGCAAGACCTGGAAACTGAGGTTCTCATTTTGAAAGACAGACTGAAGTATCAAGAACAAAAAACAGCTGTTCAGGAACAAAAGATTTTTGAACTGCATTCCAAAGTGCTGTTAGGGGATCAAAAGTTAGCAGAAAAAAATGAAATCATTGATATACTGAAAGATCAGCTTAGAAACATTGAAGCAAGGAATTGCGGAGGCAAATTTTACTGGAAATTAGAACACTTTCATTCTCTTTGCGAAGAGGCAAATTTAAAAGGCTCGGACTCGGTTGTAAGACACAGTGTTGGATTTTACACAAGCTTTTATGGGTATAAGTTATGTGTCCGAGTGAACTTGAATTGTAAAGATCCAAATCAAGGGTATGTTTCATTGTTCATTCATTTCATGAAAGGTGATTTTGATGATTATTTGGAATGGCCCTTTCAAGGTAACATAACTTTATCTATTGAGGATCAAAACATTGACTTTGTGAAACGTAAACACATCAGTGAAACGCTAATCGCAAAGCCAGGCCTAGCTGCTTTTGACAAACCTGCTAGCAATCGCAACCATAAAGGCTTCGGCTACATGGAGTTTGCACCATTAGCATCACTTGAAAAGGGTTCTTACATCAAGGATGGAGCAGTATTAGTCAAAGTAGTTGTATGCCCAACGTCTTCAAAATGATGATAATGGCATCTTAAAAATTTCAAAATTAAAATCCTCTTAATTATAATATCAAAATGATGCATTAAACAGTGGACTGGAAGACACCCATTTCTCATTCACTGACTAAACCCTACACAGCAGTAAAGCAGTATATAAATATATACAGTAATAATACATTGAGGTTCAAATAGTGGCAGACCTTTAAATGTCAACACTAACTGTGTTAAAGAGTATTTATTGCACTAGACTGGAATTAAGTTTATTAAATTCTTCAGTTAAAACATGCAGCACTGTCATTATTTTGCCAAAGTAATTGTGTACCACTGGGAAAAAAGACATTTATTTTGAAAATAAAAGTATAAGATACATATAAACAAAAGCAGTATGCACAGACATTAAAAGAATTGTTTTACAACATTTGTTTCTCTATTATTTTGTTTATTTTAGTTGTGGTAATTGAATTCAAATATTCAAAAGAAATACAGTTATACAGATATTAGCTTTTGAAATGACTTGGTTGTTAAAATTTAAAGCAATATCTATTGTAAAAAGTAAATTCTAAACTGAAAAGTTATGCACAGTAATAGTGCTAAGCTGTAGAACATATTTTGTCATAAAAAGGAATTGTTTATTTATATATTTGCTGTATTTGACCAACAAGGAGGCTCAATAAGTCAACACCCTTGACACTTTATTATATTGCAGTTTATAAAGGAACTTTTAATCAGCCGAGGTGAGGTTTCAATTGTGTTGTGCATGTTAATGTTGAAAAAATGAGAAATTTCATATACTGTATATATATCATATACTGTATGTATATATATATATATATATATATATTTATTTATTTTCTCAAAAATCACAACTATGTACAGAAGAGTGAAGCCAATGAGGATACAAAGCAGCACCAAACATTAAATTCAAACAACAGAAAGAGAAATAGAAAAAATTAAAATACCAATGTAAACTACTATAGTATACATTACTAGTAAACATCACAAAGAAATAAACACCAAAAAATAGACATATACAATAATATATCTAAAAATAAATGCTGATTTCATGAATTGAAAAGTAGATTTTGCAGTTTATTAACTATGAATAATAATAATATTAATAATATAAATAATAAATTTAAATAATGTAGACAACTTACTAAAATTAGATAAAAGATGTTGATAAAATATTTAAAATATTAAGATTAAATAAACACCTGATGGAAAAAGTTGAATTTCATTTCTACCATACATTATAGGAATAACAGAAATTTGTGAAGTGCCATTTGAAAATTTATCAAAGGTGCTGGGTGAGAAGGATATGGTTACCATCTGTAGAATCACATAATCTAAATGCAGAGTTAATATTCAGTAATTTTTTTTCTTAGTCCTGTCAAATTTTCGTTATCTTTAAAGCCATCTTGAATAACCTTTATATTCCGCCTTTAAGCGTGGTTCAGAGCAGGAAAATGTATCATTTGTGAATTTGGAAAAATAAGGGGAATCC